AGGATATCAATCTCTGGACGCCAGGTAGAAGGTACCCTGACTCGCATACAACGCTTCGTCCAACAATATAGACACCGAATCCATTCTTAACAAAAGAAAAAGGAAATGGTTAATTCCAAGAAAAACTCTCTTCTCTGTCTTCTGACACTTATTTGCCTAAGTCAAACTCAATTCTAAAAAAGAGAAGAAAAAACAAACTTAAAAGAAACACGAATTCTCTCCAACACTTACCTAAGATCATTCCAAGGAACCTAAGCCGTCAAGCTGAAGAACCATTCCTAAAAAAAAAGTAAGAAGGAATGGTTAATGCCATCCTAAAAAGAAAAAAATCTTAAAAAAAACAAAAACCTACCTAAAGTCGTTATAACCTGCCGAAACTATTCATAATATAAGAAAGGAACAATTAATTCTGTTTCTAGAAACTAGAAAAAGGGAAAACTTTCTATAGATATTTACCTAATATCATTCCCATCATGTCGTTACTGACTTAATGTCGTTCATAAAAAAAGAAATACAAAAAAAAAAAAAATTTAACCCGAGATAAGTTTAACGCCTGTATAAGCCACTGTTCCCTTGTTGTTCCGTTACTGCGTTACAATAAAAAAAAAAATGGTTTAAAAAAATTTTTTCTTTAAAACTATTTACCTATTTAAGGCGATCGAATTTGACGGATGATCTGATTCATCCGAATCGGATTATCATCCGATCCGTCAATAAAATGCCCATCCGATCTATCTGATTTATCCGACGGATGACGGTATCCGAATTTAGAACGGATAGGATTGGAACTTTATTAGGGAGGGTTACTGGCATTACTAAGAATCTGATGGAGTGCTTGAATGGAAGGAGGTATGTCCTTGTTTTAATTCCAGTTGGTAGGCATAAGTTCATTGAGTTCATAAATATGAATTTGTTGTTTATCCCTGCTGACATATGCACGAACAAGTGCCTTATGCGGGACAAGGGCTCCCACGATCACGGTGACGTTGTGCATCGGGTGCGATGGTGAAATAGTCTAAAAGTTGCATCATTGAATCAGGAGAACAGGGGTTTTCAAGCTTCACTTCTAAAAAGAGAGAGCAGTGCACTTGTGGGAGCCAAAAAAGAAAGTAGGATCGAGATAACGGGTTTTAACCCGTTCATGTTTTAGTTACTCTCACAACCACCTCAATAGTGTCGCAGAGTGATGATTAGAGCCAGGAGCCAAAGAAGTCGATGAATAAATTCATTTTGCGAAGCCATTTCTCAAGCGATTACTCAATATACTGTTGCTTTACTGTCGGGCAGCCATGCACGCTGAATAAAATCATCAAGTGTGTTGCCATCACGGATACGGTGTCTATATTGTTGGACGAAGCGTTGTATGCGAGTCAGGGTACCTTCTACCTGGCGTCCAGAGATTGATATCCT